GCAGATTCTGCACCAAGTGCAGAGCCTCACACGGGGCTCGATCTCATGACCCTGAGATCAGGAACCGAGCCGAAAACAAGAGTCGGACTGAGCCACCCAGTCACCCCTAGAGAGGCACTTTAGAAGAGCTTTCGGAAACATGGACTATGGAGCTAGGCTGCTGGGTTTGTATCCTGGCTCAGCTACCCATCAGGTACGTGACCTTGGGCAAGTTACATAATCTCTCTGTCCTCATCTGAAAAGTAACCGGACTGCTTCTTTGGGTTGTTGTAAGGAGTAAATGAGTGAGTATGCATAAAGGCTTTGGAGCACTTAGCAAGCTTTTAAATTATCATTGCACTCCTGTTACGTGCCCAGCACTGTGCTTTATGTTCACAACCATCTAGTCTTTACGACATCTCTATTGTTAACTGACTTAGTTTACAGATGAGGAAATTAAAGCATAGGAATGTCAAGTGCCTTACACGGGGTCCTGCAGCTGAGGCCACGCTGAGCATCACACCCACGTCTGGCTGGCTCCAGAACCCTCAGTGCTCAATCACCTTTCTGTTCTGTCCCCTCCGATCGGCGTTCTGCCTCTTGGTTCCTCTATTTCTGGTAAAAGAGGCCAGCGAGGTCGAGGCCCAAGTTCATAGTCACTTAGCTGGTCAACAAAACAGGAGCCAGGATGTAGGGATGCTCTCTCCACCCCACACTTCCCCTGCAGGGCAGAGGCTCCCGGGTTCCGACAGCCGGCCTTGTCCCAGCCACCCTGACAAGCAGTCCTTCCTGGGTCAGACCAGAATCTGTCCTGCTTTAATTCATGCCCATCTTCTTTCACTGACTTCTCTTCTTCTTCTAGTCTAGGTGACTCATTAGCTTATGAGTCAATGAGCCCTCCCAGCTGCCACCCACCACTGCCTTGTTTGTCTCCATCTGTCCATTTCAGTACCTCTCCTTGAGGATGTGGCCAATGCTTACCTGTGCCAACTTCATGGACAAGTGGGCCAGGGTTTCTAGGGAAACTCCTGCATGGTCTCAGCTAAACTTCAGTAGGACCTGGCTTCTCCCTGGGCTCGGCAATGAAGCATCTCCTTCCCGACATTTTCTTTCCTTGTACCTCTCAGACAACTTACCTGCCACCGGACTGGGGAATCCTGTGACCATTTCCCATATGTGAGCTAGGGGTGGGGACACTGTTCTCTGGACCTGCGCTGTCCACTGGGGCAGCAAGTGGCCACATGTGGCTATTTAAATTGATTGAAAGTAAATAAAACTTAAAATCCCGTTCCTCAGCTGCACCAGCCAAGTTTCCCATGTTCGGTCCCCGGAAGCAGCTAGTGCCTTCTATATGGGACAGTGCAGAGAGAGAACATTTCCCTCATTGCAAAAAGTTCTATTGGACAGCACTATCTGTGGTTCTCACACTCAGAATCGTCTGGAGGACTTGTTAAAACACCTAAAGCTGGCCTCACCCCCAGTTTCTGCCTTATAGCTCTGGGGCAGCTTGGAGGATTTTCATTTCTAACAATTTCCTAGGTGAAGTCACAATGACATCCACACTTTGGTCCAGGTGCCCACTTTGAGAACTTCTGTATTCACCCGCCACTGGGAGAGCCTGCTTCAAAGACTCCATGTGCTGATCCTGAGCTGCTGATGGGAGAGAGTGATGGGTAGACACAGCTCCCTCAGCTGAGCTTCCAGAAGGAGCCTGAGACGAGCTTTTTAAAAAGTGAACGTTAGAGGGGCAGAGAGTAATCCTGCGCCCCCATCGATTGCCTGGGCTTCATTTCCACTTCTCTGTAACTTCTGAGAAGGCGCGAGCTCAATTCCAAGCGTGATCACCGTCCTTCTCCAACGACCAATACAAAGTGAGGAACCAGTCCAACGTGACCTAAGATGTTGCTCCTAGGTTGCAGCTTTCCCTCGACCTTGAACCTTCCAAGACCTGCTGGCACCCAGTGCCTCCTCTTTCAAAGAGGCGAGGTTGGGTACAGGAAAGAACACTGGATTTGGAGTTAAAAGATTTGGATTCAAGGGGCGCCTGCGTGGCTCAGTTGGTTAAGCGGCCGATTCTTCATTTCGGCTCACATCATGATCTCAGGGTCGTGGGATCGAGCCCCACGTCAGGCTCCACACTCAGCATGGAGTCTGCTCGAGATTCTCTCTCTCCTTCTGCCCCTGCCCCCGCTCGTGCGCACGCACTCTCTTTCTGTCTAAAATAAATAAGTAAAATCTTTTTTTTTTAAAGAAAATATTTGGATTTGAGTCCCTGTGTGACCTTGAGCATTGCCCCCTCTGAGCTTAGTCATGGGGACATAATGGCCATGGTAGTTTATAGAGCTGCTTTATGCTCAAGTAATCTACTATATGGATTTTGTTTATAAATCACGGGGTACTGTCCAAACCTGAGGCCCCACAGCTTGGGGTATAAACATTAGAACACAGGTTATATTCAATCACTTATTGGTTTATATGTACATCTCACGACAACCTGAGAGTTCCTTGAGGCAGGGCTCCTGTTCATCTATTAATCTTTGGGCCCCCTAGTGCTTGACTTGAGGTCCAGCAAATAGTTACACTAATAATGATTATTATACTCAAACACACAGTACTTATTATGTGTCAAGCACTGTTCTAATGTATTAATTCATTTAATTCTTACTGCATTCCCATGAGGTATGTATTACTGTTAGGAAATCACACATAATAGATGCTTACTAGATATTTATTGATGCATCTAGGGCGGGACTTCTTCAACTTGAACTCGCATAGGAATTATCGGGGAATCTTGACCTTGTTAAAATGCACCTTCTGATACAGCATGGCTGGGGTGGGGCCTGGGATTCTGCATTTCCAATAGGCTCTCAGGTGATGCTGCCAGTCAGCAGACCACACTGTGGGTATCAAAGAGCTAGATCATTTAATAGACTGTCAAACAGGAAACATCCAGTCCCTTGCTGGAGTGGAGGCGCTCTAGAAAAAAAAAATAACATGTCTTACTTGGGTAGCAAGAGGATTACAGATCGTCAGGCTAGACACTTTTTGAGAGGATGATGAAGTCAGTCAACCAAAGCAGCTTTTAAAGTCTCGTTGGAACAGTCTGTTCTCGTGGTTTCCAGGCGAGGAGCACTTTCCAACATTAGCCATGGAGTGTTCAGGGGCTGGGGCCACACATCTGACTTTAACAGGGAGCCCAGCAGCCGCCGTCAGATCTCCTGGAGTCTGCCGTCCAGGGAGGGCCGTGAGACCTTCCCAAGACAGCCACGGGACTGAGGCCAGTGCTCCCAGGGGGTGGAGGGATGTTCAAGGGCCGTGGGAGGAAGTGTGTGAACGAAACGTGGCCTCAGAGTCAAAAGTGGGTTCAAAGCCAGTGTCTTCACTTAGAAGCCGTTCAACCCGTGACAAGTTACTTCTCCCTGTAGTTCTGTTTTCTTACTGTGCCACAGAGATCGTACTGGGTTTGGCCAGGGCAGCTGAAGCTCCTGGAGGATTTAGAAACAGAGCGACTTTGGTGCAGGGCACCTGTTACATGGGCGATCACAGCGCTGGGAAGCCAAAGGGGTAAGGTGAGGCAGCGCAGAGATGAGCAGGAAGGCAGCCAAGGGCTGGCAGGCCCCAGGGAGGTGACAGTGTTCCTGCCACCCAGGGGCCGGGTCACCGGGCTGAGGCTGGAACCACAGAGAAATACCATTGCTTCTCCCTTTCGCCCCACCTTCCGATCTCCCACCACTGTCTCCCTTGGCCCAACCCTTGGCCGGAAGCTCGCTGGGAGGCGCAGCCCGCAGGGGTCAGCCTGCGTGGCAAATCTGGAACAGGGCAGGAAAGGGGAGGCATGGCTCTGAGGGCCAATGGGCTCAGGACCCCAGGCCACAGGTTCGAGGACTCGGTGGAAAGGTCTGCGTGGATGCCCGGAACACAGGGCCACCGCATTAATAAAGCACGGGCCCTTCCCCTCCCGTGGAGACAGCCAACTTCCGTGGGGCTAACCATGTATTCGGGGGTGACGTTCTGGCTATCAGCAACCTCTCTTTTCCCACCCCTATGTGTGCGGGGTCTCCAGGCTCTGCAATTTAAGCAAATTCTCCGCTGGCCTCTCGGGATCCTGTGACATGTAGGAAGGGGTTTCTCGGACCAAAGGACCACGCGGCGTGGGGCAAGCTGCTGAAGCTGACTGCAGGGACGTTAGCAAGGCAGGGCCGGGAGGGGGGCCCGGACAGCCCTGTCTCTGAGTCGTCCATTCGCACATTCACTTCCACACAAGCAGTTACGGAGCCAGAATCACGCTAGGGGCTAGAAATGCAGCGGGTGTTCTAGTCTGGTGGTGAAACAGGCCTGCAAATTAAGGTTTTAGTCAGGGCTATCTCGGTTGTAAGAAACAGAAACCCATCTAAAAAACTCAAGTGTAAAGGGGTTTTACCGAAAGGGGTGAGGCCATCTGATGGAATGGAAGTTGTGCAAGTGTGGCAGGATCTCATGGCGACTGTCCCCATCTTTTCTCTGCCTCTGCCCCCTGTCCTCCCTGAGCCCCCACAAACCAGACCCCACATTGCCCCCGCTCCCCCATAACTTCCGCTCCTGGGTGACTTCTGGCTTCCCTGGATGGCAGTGGACTCAAGCCTTGAGCCCTGGCGATGGTACAAATCCAGCCCACTCTCGCTGACGGACTGAGATCCCTGGTCTCTGGGTCACATGACTGAGAGCGGCCCTGGCCCTGCCCGCTGTCTGGAGTCAGACTCCCCAGGGGCCCGGGGAATGGGAGGAGGGGGAGGGCCCTGCAGGCTGCCTTGGGAAGGGCAGCTTCCCTGTACCAAAGTACCTCCTGTCTCCTGCAAGAAATAATTACAGACCTGGCCTGGGAAGATCAGATACAGAAAAGCATTTAAAATGACAATAGTGACTGTATTATTACATCACACAGTAAAAGCTCTTCCCCCCCCCTTTTTTTTTTTTTACAAACACGCCTCAAATGCTTTAATAGAATTTAGCTTTTCCTTCAACGGTCTTTTCGTAGTCAAACAACAAAAATACCCAGTGTTAAAACCACTTAATAAACTTACAAACTTGAAAAATTAGACACTTCAGATAAGCAATAAACTCCGTATTATGAAAGCAGTATATTCCAAGTTTCAAAGGTTTGACAAGTTCTGCAGAATATTTTTGCCAGTAGATGGAAACTCCACAATTTTCTGCCAAGTAGGACTGTCATTCACTGGTTTGAGGTCGAATCCATTTCAAGGTATGTCGTGGTGGCACAGTAATGGTGAGATGATAAAATGTGCAGTCAGGTCTTGTACACTGAGTATTAAATCTGCAGTGTTTTGGATGATAGAAGGGACATTCCATTTTCTTACAAGCAGGGAAATAACGGCACAGCTGACTACTAGAAGGTGAGGCTGGTGTTGCAACTGGTTTTGGAGGCAGTACTGGAATTCTTCTACTCATATGAGTGAAGGGACAATCTGGTTTAGTACATTTTGCATCATATTTACAATTTGGATGAACAAACAAACATTTCTCAGCAAACTGACAATTGGGGAAGGCTTTGCAAGGTGAAACAGGATGATGGTAAGCACACTCATCCCCATTTTTACAGGCAGGCCAGTACTTGCAACGCTCCAAAAGTTTTTCTGGTTTCTGGACCACACTCAGTTCACTCATCTCAGCATTTGAGAAGCTACCATTTGGGTCATCGAGCTGCCTGCTCATCAACTGCAAGTGCTGTGGGTGGAGGAGACCTCTGAGTTCCTTGTTTGAGGCTGCAGTTTGGTTTACAGGTTTCACTCCTTCAAAGCACATGTCCTCCTCTTGATCTGACATGTATCCTGGGGGGCTGGGGACACCATCCAGCGTCACTATAAACTTGGGACTTGCAGGTTTATCTGGGTGTACAAGATCTCATGTCTGCATAAGGTGTCCTGAAAGTACCCGAAGGGTATCTGCAGTCTTCATCCCCGACTCTTGGTTTGGTGCCACTACTATTTCCTCAGACAGCTTTGGCTTCTTCAGAATAAATGATCTTGTGTCTGCATGGACTATGGATTCCATGTCATAGTAATCTTGACTGATCTGTAGAGTTTCTGCCATTACTGGGTCAATTTGCAGTCGGGATAACAACTGCCTCTGTTGAGCTCGTTGGCTTTTTTCCATATTATCTCCCTTTGTTTCCTCTTCTTTAATGGGGGTACTTATTCTGGGGGTCCTGCTTTGCCCCTGGACCATTTCTGCCAGCAATTCTTCTTGAGAAGTTCGAGTTCTGGGAGCAACTGGAAGTGTCTGTTTCTGTGAGACTGTAGAATAGTTAGTTGTTTTTGTTACAGATTCTTGAGCTTCAGATACAGCCTTCAAAATTAGATTCTTGTTAGCTCGTTTAGAAGGTGGAAGTGAAGGTCTCCTTTCAGGCTTTGCTGGCACTGACACACGGCTGGAGATGCTTCCTGTGCGAGACCCACAGTCATCATCTTCCTCCTCCTCTTCTCCATCATGATTGAATTTTTTTTACTTTAACAACTGAACTTAACCACAGGCAACTTTCTCTTCCGAAAGTTTTCTTCCTCAACACTCATTTTTTTCTGAGTTGTTTCTGAAAAAAGGACTATAAGTCTCTTCTAAGCTGTTAAGCATTTCCGGTTCACACAAACGTCCTGTTTCATATACCCGGCTGTTCTGTATATCAGGTTGCTTGGCAGCATGAATACTGTTTGGCTGCTGCTGAAATTGCAACCTGTTTAAATGAGCACCACTATCTGCATTTCGACTTGCAGGTGGTCGATAAATTTCAACAGAAGGGCGAGAAGAACCATATGTAAGTGTCACTGTAGGTTTTTTCTGAGATAAGGGATTCTCCTGCACAAAATTGAAGTCTTCATCAATGAGATCATCTGGTTCTGGCTTAATAACAATCACATCTTCGGAGGGTGCTGGCTCCCTCAGAGGCTTCACAGTTGACATTAATCGGGTTGCAGCTCCATCATCATAAGTCTGTTTGACAGTAGTGGTTTTTTGCTCCTGTGAACTAGTAGAAAACCTGGAATCTCTTTTTTCAGGTCTAGTGCTAGCCACCGCAAGAGGTGGCACTGCGGCTTCATACCTTCTCTCATCTCCCCGACTGAAACAGCTCTTGTTTGAAGACACGTTATTATCAAAGATGTTAGTATCAGAAGACTTAAGACTGGAAGGGTCAGTTGTAACAGAGCGAAGTTCATCTAACACACCATGAAGCCATACGGTGAATTGAATTGTGTTGTTCCCTAGAAATAGGGACAGGTCCTCTGTCATTTGGTCCTGACTTTTCTTGTTGGCCACCAACACCATAATGTAATCAGGAAGTTCTTCATCAACATAAGCTCCTAATTCTTGCAATTTCCCCTTAATGGCACTCCGGATCTTGCGGCTGATCTCGGTGCCGCTTTCCATGGCTCCCGGCGGGCTCACCACTGCGCCGCGCCTCGCTTACCCAGAGCCCCGCGCCCGCTTCCGGCCCCGCAGCTCCGCCGCCGCAGCCGCCAGCCACCAGTGCGATCTGCGTGACCCGCCAGTAAAAGCTCTTTTCATACGTTGACCTCTTTGAGGCCTCAAGCCAGCCTCAGAAGTCAGCAGTATCATTATGTCCATCTCCCCATTTTACAGATGAGGAAACTGAGGTGTAGGAGGTTGAATCCGTGGCCTGAGGTCAGACGGGTTGGAGGGGACAGCAGCCCCGTCTCTGGGCCCCATGCCCGAGGCCTGTGTTTCAGACGAGAAGCCCTTTGGTAAGGTCATGTCCAACCCTCAACCTCCAGGAATGCTCTCTCCAAACAAAACCTTCCTTGTGTTAAAGGTTTTCTGGGGCACCACCATCCATCTTCACAACATTTTCATCTTCCCAAATAGAAATTTTGTGCTCATTAAACAATTGCCTTCTCTTTAAAAAAAAAAAAAAAATAGGCTTTATTTTCTAAGAGCAGTTTTAGGTTCATAGCAAAATTGAGGAGAAGGTACAGAGATTTTTGACCCCCAGCCCCCACTCATGCATAGTCTCCCCATTATCAACATCCTCACCAGAGTATTACATTTGTTAGAATTAAATGGGCCAAAGACCTTAATAGATACCTTACCAAAGAAGATATACAGATGGCAAATCAGCACATAAAAAGACGCTCCACACCATATGTCATCAGGGAAACGCAAATAAAAATGACAATGAAGCCAAAACATGAGCACTGACAACACCAAATGCTGCAGAGGATATGGAGCAACAGGGACCCTCATTCATGGCTGGTGGGAAGGCAAAAGGATACAGCCACTTTGAAGGGTAGGGTGGTAGTTTCTTACAAAACTAAACATATTCTTATCACACAAGCAACAGTCATGCTCCTTGGTATTCAACCCAAAAGAGTTGAAAAATTGTGTCCACACCAAAACCTGCATACAGATGTTTATGGCAGCTTTATTCATAATTGCTAAAACTTGGAAGCAACCAAGATGTCCTCCAACAGGTGAACAAATAAACTGGTCCATCCAGACAATAGAATATTATTCAGCATTAAAAATAAATGAGCTATCAAGCCATGAAAAGACATGGAAGAAACTTAGACACATACAACTAAGTGAATGAAGCCAGTCTGAAAAGGCTACATATATACTGTCTGACTCCAACTACATGACATTCTGGAAAAGGCAAAACTATGGAGATAGTAATAAGATCAGTGGTTGTGGGGTGGAGGACAGGGGAGGTGAACAGGAAAAGCACAGAGGATTTTTAGGGCAGTGAGACTTCTCTGTATGACACTATAACAACTATGTTGTTGACGGAGATTGTTCTGTAGTTTCATTGTAATGTCTTTGTCTGGTTTGGGGTAATGCTGGCCTCATAGAATGAATTGGGAAGTATTCTCTCTGCTTCTGTCTTCTGGAAGAAACTGTAGAAAATTGGTATAATTTCTTCCTTAAATATTTGGTGGAATTCACCAGTGAACCCATCTAGGCCTGGTGCTTTTTGTTGTGGAAGGTTATTAATTATTGATTTGATTTTGTTAATAGATATAGGCCTATTTAGATTGTCTATTTCTTCTTGTGTGAGTTTTAGCAGATTGTGTCTTCCAAGGAATTGGTCTGTTTCATCTGGGTTATCAAATTTATGGGCATAGAGTTGGGATGGTTTTTTTTTTTTTTGGTATTTATTTATTATCATTTTAACATTCATGGGATCTGCAGTGGTGTCTTTTCATTTCTGACATTAGTAATTTGTGTCCTCTCTCTTTATTTCTTAGTTAACCTGGATAGAACTTATTGATTTATTTTTATTTTTATTTTTTTTAAAAGATTTTATTTATTTATTTGACAGAGAGAGACACAGCAAGAGCGGGAACACAAACAGGGGTAGTGGGAGAGGGAGAAGCAGGCTTCCCGTGGAGCAGGGAGCCTGATGCGGGGCTCGATCCCAGGACCCCGGGATCATGACTTGAGCCGAAGGCAGGAACATAACAACTGAGCCACCCAGGCACCCCTAGAACTTATTGACTTTATAGATCTTTTCAAAGAACCAGCTTTTGGTTTCATTGATTTTTCTCTACTGACTTCCTATTTTCAATTTCATTGATTTCTGCTCTAATATTTATTATTTCTTTTCTTCTGCTTACTTGGAATTTAATTTGTTCTCTTTTTCCTAGTTTCCTAAGGTGGAAGCTTAGCTAATAGATTTTACATATTTCTTCTTTTTCTAGTATATTCATTCAATGCTATAAGTTTCCCTCAAAGCCCCACTTTTGCTGTAATCCATAAATTTGGTAAATTGTGTTTCCATTTTATGCATTAAAATATTCAGTTCAAATTATTTTAAAATTTCTCTTTGAGATTTTTTTTTCTTTCACACATGTGCTATTTAGAAGTATGTTGGTTTGATCTCCAAAATTTCCAGCTATCTTTGCTATTAATTTCTGGTAACAGAAATTAATTAGAATTAGCTTAATTCCATTGTGGTCTGAGAATAGACTGTATGATTTCTAATCTTTTAAATTTGTTAATGTGTGTTTTATGGGCCAGAATGTGGTTTACCTTGGTCAATGTTCCATGTGTATTCTCCTGTTGTTGGATGAAGTAGTCCATAGATGTCCATTATATTCTGTTGATTGATGGTGTTATCGAGTTCAACAATGTCCTTACCGATTTTCTGCCTGCTGAATCTGTCCCTTTCTAGTAGAGCAGTATTGAAGTCTCCAACTATGATAGTGGATTCATTGATTTTCCCTTGCAGTTCTATCAGTTTTCATCCTATGCATTTTGATACTCTGTTGTTCTGTACATATACACTAAGGATCAAAATGTCTTTTTCTAGAAATGACTCCTTTAACATTACATAATGCCCCTCTTTATCCCTGATAATTTTCCTTGCTTTGAAGTTTTCTCTGTCTGAAATTAATACAGCTACTCCTGCTTTCTTTTGATTAGTGTTAACAGTGTATATCTTTCGCCATCCATTTATTTTTTGTTTTGTTTTTATTGTTATTGTATTATTTTAGCTTTACACTTTGTCATCCATTTACTTTTAATATATATGTGTCTTTATATTTAAAGTGAGTCTCTTGTAGACAGCTCTAGTTGGGTTTGTTTTTTGATTCACTCTGATAATCTCTGTCTTTTAATTGAAGTATTTAGACTATTGACGTTCAAAGTGATTACAGATATATGTTACATTTTCTGTTTGTTGTCCTTGTTCTTTGTTCATATTTTTGTCTTCCACTCTTTTTCTGCCATTTGTGGTTTTAACTGAGCATTTCCTATGATTATTCCTATGATTATGTTTCCTCTCCTTTTTAAGCCTATCAGTTGTACTTTTTTTTTTTTTACTTTTTAAGTGGGTTGCCCTATACATTTACAACTAATCTCTCTGCTCCTCATTCTCCATATCTCTCCATGATTCTCCCCACCTTACCCCAGTTATAGCAGGAGGGTCCTGAAGCAGATATAAATTAAAAATTCTTAAAATGCATTTACAAAGACAAAGCAAAAAGGTCTACCAAAGCTAAATAAACTAAGCAAGAAAACCCCATTAATTTGCCATTTGCTAACTTGACTTTTTTTAAATTGGACAATATTCACATTCCAAGTGCAGTCAAAGTGATTACAGATACAGTTGTATTAATCCAAGTTCACATTTCTATAACACTGTACTGTTTCATGGGTGGGGAAAATACATTATAGTAACAAAATAATCCTAAATTCTCCCTCTTGTCTTTTGTATCATTATCATTCATTTCACTTATACATAAGCATGCATAAACGTATATATATACATATATATTTATATGCATACATAATTGAATATATTGTTGCCATATAATAACTATTGCTAATAATATTTTGAACAAACTGTCATCTGTTAGATCAATTAAGAATATGAAAAATTCAAGATTTTATTTTACCTTCGATTGTTCCTTCTGCAAGGTCTTCCTTTCTTTAGGTAGATACGAATTTCTGACTTACATCATTTTCCTTCTCTCTAAATAACTTCTTTTAACATTTCTTGCAAGGCAAGTCTACTGGCAACAAATTCCCTCAATTTTTGTTTGTCTGGAAAAGTCTTTATTTCTCCTTCCCTTTTGGAGGATAATTTCTCAGGCTACAGAATTCTAGGTTGGTGGTTTTTTTCTTAATACTTAATATTTCACTTCACTCTCTCCTTACTTGCATGGTTTCTGGGGAGAAAGTCAGGTGTAATGCTCATCCTTTTTCTTCTATAGGTAAGATGCTTTTTTCCTCTGTCTTCTTCCAGGATTTTTTCTTTTTCTTTGACTTTCTGTAGCTTGATGATGATTTGCCTAGGTGTAGTTTTTTGGATGTTTATTCTGCTTGGTGCTTTCTGAGCTGTGGTTTTGTGTGTTTTGGGGAAATTTTCACTAATTTGGAGAAATTTTCAGTCATTATTTTTTCAAATATTTCTTCTATTCCCTTCTCTCTTCTCCTTCTTGTCTTCCCATCCCATGTATGTTACACCTTTTGTAATTGTCCTACGGTCCTTGGGTCTTTGTTCTGTTTTCTTCAGTCTTTGTTCTCTTTGCTTTTCAGTTTGGGAGCTTTATATTGCATCTTCAAGCTCAGCCACGTTTTTTCTTTCCTCAGCCATGTCCAGGCTCCTAATGCACCCAACTGGAGCATTCTTCATTTCTGTTACAGTGTTTTTGATCTCTAGCATTTCTTTTTGGTTCTTTCTTAGAATTCCTTTCTCTTTGCTTACACTGTCCATCTGTGCTTGCATGCTAGGATCTACTTTATCCTTTGGAGCCTTAGCATATTAATGATAGATACTTTATATTCCTGCTCTGATAATTCCAACATCCTCGCCATATCTGAATCTGGTTTTAATACTTGCTCACTCTCTTCAAACTGTGTTTTTTGCCTTTTAGCATGTCTTGTAATTTTTCTTGATAGCTGGGTATGATATACAGGGTAAAAGGAACTGGTATAAATAGGCTGTTGGTAATTGTTGATGAGGGGTGTGTGTGTGTGTGTGTGTGTGTGTATAAGCATTCTATAGTCCTATGATTAGGAGGACTTTCTC